ATATTCTCAAACCATACAATGTAGGTAAGATCAACAGTGCCAATTTTTCATAAAGCATCAGATATTGAAGAATTCTTTAACTGCTGTCAGTGCAAAATTCTCCTCTCTACCAAATTGCAAGGGTCTAGACTATTCTCTATTCAGATTTCAAGCCATAATGAAAACTCTGACTACATATTCTGAAACATAATTCATTCATCCTATTCTTCTGATCAAATGAAGCATTTAGTCAGGGAAGGAAGAGGGGGTTTTTTTTGGTAATTTTTCTTTTATCCATGGCATTTCATCAAGAGCAGCATTTGTTGGAATTTTTTTTAACAATTATGAAAATTTCAACCACAGGTAGGGGAAAAAATTTTTTTTACTGACCCCATAAATAGTTCCATCCACAAATTTCATGATTCCATGTCCTTGGCGCAAATCATTGACCCAGTCTCCTTCATAAACATCACCAATGCTGTAAACATTAATAAAAGAGAAAAGTACAAAATTGTAACATTTTCTCCAATATACACAAGAGTTGATTAACATGTAACTTCTCCCAACAATATCCATACAATATCCAGAAAACAAGGTATTAAGAATACTCAGATTTATCAAGTAGAAGTTGTTTTACTTAATCTAACTTAATCCAAATTCTCATAACTTATTTACAAGGCAATGTGTGGCAGCTAAAGGAGAGAATTAACAACCAGATCTGAGGAGTTATAGATTTAATCTGTTTCATAGTTGTTTGGTTATGAAGTGCTCTGTTTTTATGAGAAAAAATTTCTCCTCACAAATTTTTAACAAACTGGGGTTCTATCTTTTAGCCAAGTACATTGATGAAACTCATTTGAAAAGTCCAAGATTACCTTTTGCTAACAATTACTCAAGACAATGATTTTTGGCAGTTGTCTTTCATAAGACAAGCTGGTTAAAAGAAACATTTAGTTATTAACACCCTAACATCAGTATGCATATTCTCTATAGTGTTCTGCATGCATCTCTTAAGGCACTGACAAGGAGAAATTCCTAACCAATCAAGAACTCTTTAGTGTGTGATCATTTCCTTATTCTCATAACTTTAATGTTTGATTTAGGGGTGATATTATAGGGAGAAATTATATGCTAGTCACTCTAAGGGGTCACAAGGTTAATTTTTACTATGTTTGCATTAGCATTATCAAACCTTAGGATCCATTTTCCTTCACCATGTCTCCTGTGTTTATGGAAAGATCCCTCATAGATAGATCCGTCTTTGTTGGTAAGTTTACCTTCTCCTGAGATAAAAAATTGATAGAATGGGAGAGACGGTGAATTCTGAGCAATTCTTTCTGTTTACACTGCAGATCAAGAATTGATGATAATCAATTGATAAGGTTCGAGAATCTACTTCAGAGATGAAAATCATCAGTAACTAGAAACTCATTACTAAGTATCAGTTTAACAAAAGATTCCATTTTGCATGTGTATCTGTCCAGTAATAGATCACAGATGACATCAAAATGTGATAAGAACAAAATAAATGGCAAATGAGGTACAACCAAGTGTATCACTCATGTCCTTACCACATTTTGATATCTTCTGTGATCTATTACTGACAGTGACTGAACAAACCCAGGGCAACATGGAATCTGTTTGTTTCATATAAAAATAAAACGGATGGTGACATTATCTTTGCGTCTGTCCTCCAATAGGTCATAAGAAGAACCAAGCAAAATCCATATATGATTCATCTTATCATATTAGATTTACCTTATTAAAGTAAATGGTTTGAACCTAGGAGTATCAGTAGTTCGTATAGTGTGATCATCTGGGTGAGTGTAGTTCTGAAAAGAACTGTTGTTGGTGACTGACGTTTTGACTACCTGTGCGGAAGTACGGATCGAAACCGACCAATGACTGTTAACAAACTCTGCACGAGTCTTCCAGCCAATCACATCATGGCTAAACAGACCAATCACGTTCAACAGACCAGACTTTATAACATCATCAACTGACAACTACTCTTCACTTGACTCTGAAGATCACTTGACTCTGAAGATGACTTCCGCACAGGTAGTCGAAATGTCAGTCACCAACAACAGTTCTTTTCAGAACTACACTCACCCAGACGATCACACTATACGAACTATAGATTTACCTTCCCGCCGATTTTCAATCCATTCTCCTTCATATCGTGATCCATCGCCATATACCATTACTCCATGGCCATTCAGTTCACCTTTAACAAACTGTCCAGTATATTCATTCCCTGTACTGGCCCAGCGGCGGAATCCATGCCCCTGGATTTCCCCGTCAATGAACTGTCCTTCATAGAAGCTGCCATCAGCCATCACAAGCTTACCATGACCTTCAAAAGATTTAGAAGTATATTTTCAGAATACCATTTGAATAATTGCGTGATCATCAATTTATTTTAATTTTTTAACAGTTAAAGACTTAGGGAAATCTATATTGTATTTAAATCCACCGAAAAAGGTGTAATAAAAACCCAAATTTTGAGAAACAAGCTTATTTGCATCCATGTACGTACAGTAAAAAAGTTTAACGTTTAACATTATGATTTATTCAGTTAAATCCTACCATGTTTCTTCCCTTTGCTCCATTCCCCCTCGTATCTGAAGAACTTGTTGGAATAATTGTATACTCCAAATCCTTAAAAATAGCATAACATAATTAGAAAATAAATCGTGATTGTTGATGTTTCGTGTAGCTCTTAGTAAAATTAAAGGGATAAAAAGCGAAAGTTTTTACCATCTCTGAGCTGCTTTTTGGTTTCGCCGATGTAATTTCCTGCTCCTTTAGATGTTGTGGTGTTCAACAACGTTGCCATTTTCTGCAAGAAATTAGTAAGCAAACTTTATTTTGCCATGTTGCAGATTGTTTACAGGAATCCAAGCAATCGATCCGCCATCTTTGTTTTCGAGTGGTTGCTAAGCGCACAGGCGCACACGTCAGCGGATTTGATCGCGTAATACATTCAAAATGGAGGACGTTGGAAAGTGAACTTCGTGCATTTTTAAAGCGGAAAAACTTTATTAGAATGGAAGAATACGGCAAGGATATCATTCAAGGAACGTGTTTAGAGATGTGTCCTGCAAGTGAAATTTCTGCCAGAGAGAAACAGCGGAGACTTCACTTCTTTGAAACTGTTGCTTTTACCAGTCCATCTCGTTGTAGCGAACACCATCTTGGCAAGTTGATTGCAGATCCCCGAGCAGTTATAAAGGAATTTTCGCGCTCAGCAGCGGGAAGATCTATTGATCCATCAGAACTACGACCAGCGAATGTCCTTTTAAGCACCATGAATTACTTAATCGAGGAAATCGCCTCCAAAGATAATACCTATTCTTGGCAAATGATATACTGGTTTATATTCGACCGAGCAAGAGCCATAAGGCAAGATTTGGTAGTTCAGAGAATCATTGGAAAACCTGTGATGGAAATCTTTGAAAGAATTTGCAGGTTTCATATTTTATCGGGTTACAGACTGTGTGAAAGTCCACTAGATACCTTTGATCCAAAAATTAACAATGATCACACAAATGAATGTTTGAAGAGACTTCTGTGTTTCTATGACGAGGAAGACCCTTCTGCTTATCGAGACACAAGAGCAGAATTTGAAGCATACTACCTCTTGCACAATCTGGGCTCTTTTGAAGCCTTAAATCGCGCTGTGAACTTGCAGAAAGAAGTCAAAAACAGCTGTCTATTACGGCTAGCTTTTGACATCACGACATGCATAATGCTTAAGAACTTTGTTCGATTCTTTAGGCTGGTGAAAAGGCTGCCATTCCTAGCATGCTGTGCTGTTCATAAACACATGCAACAAGTGAGAGGAGATGCTCTCGCTGCCATCAACACCGCATACTTTTGTCGCAACGCAAGTCTGCCCTTGGCCCTGCTTGTTGACATGTTAAATTTCGATAACGCTCAAGATGCTGGTGAATTCTGTTCGCATTTTGGTATGGAAGTATCGGGAACATCTGTGAAGCTTGTCAAAGGCAACTTGAACAGTTTAAAAAGCAGCGATGCTCCACTAATCAGAGCAAGATTTTCAAATTTGATAGATACCAAACTGACCGTAACCACTCGTGACTTACTGAATGGGAAATGTAGTGAAACTAAAGCACTTGTCAAAAGCTCAGTCCCTGAGTTGGTTTCTCTGACCTTTGGGCAAGGAATTTGCATCGACCAAAATGCAGCCATTGTAGAACCTCGTTCAGTTGTTAAACCAGCGTTTAATCCGCAGAAACAAAGCTATTTTGGCAGGGGAAGAGGGCGAGGCAGAGGAAAAAAGCCAGTTTATTAGCTATCAAACCTTTTTTCACGATCGTCCTTTCCAAGCATTCAGTTAATTAAACGAGGCGCCATAGTAAACGGCGCGATGGTGGCGGAGGAGTGGAAAAACGAGAGAGGCTTGGGTCGGTTCGCGTCCTAACCTCCCTCGTTTTCGCTCTGCCGCGATTAAAAGGCGCGTTTACGATTTTGCTCTGTTTTACCAAGTGAGCGCCTAGAAAGAGCTGGTCCTTGTATTATGTAAATATAATTTCATAGATCATTCAACACTTATGGTAAACGTTCATATTTTAAAAAAACCTTGGTTCGGAAACCATAAATTTTCTCGTATGCTTTAGTCTGCAGTTTTTGGCAGAATTTAACCATATTTCGTGCGACTAAAGCCATTATAGCTTTGTGCAGGGCGTACAATTTAAGCGAAAATTACGCTGCCCTGCCTCTTAATTTTACCGCTGTAGTGTAAGATACTATCGATTACAAGCAGTGCCTCCTTTTCGGCGAAGTCCGTCGTACGAGTCCAAAAAAGGTAATGAAAAAAATTTTGATTTCAAGGAGCTGCACGGAGCTCGCTGGAATCCTTGCGGCGTTCTAACA